GGAGGGGAAGACTCGTGGTGGGGGCAGGGGGGAGGAGCGTGTAAAGGGCAGGGGGGAGGAGCGTGTTGGGGGCAGGGGGGAGGCGCGTGTTAAGGGCAGGGGGGAGGCACGTGTTGGGGGCAGGGGGGAGGCGCGTGTTGGGGGCAGGGGGAAGGATCGTGAAGGCCGGGGCAGGTCAGCAAGACGAGGACGCAAAGGAGGCAAGTGCATGGCTAAATGACGATGCAAGGCACGAACATCTCTGGGGGCAAGTTTCATGCTGTTTGTTTATCGCCGTGTTCGTGCATACTCTTTTGATTTTTTCCAGGACACAAATTTCTTTTGTTGAATTTGTCCAGTTTCAGATGAGGTGAACGGCTGAAGAGGAGGAAGCAGAGGCTGAAGAGGGTGATAAGATAGGGGAGAAAACAGACGAGGGAGAACATTACTTAGAGGAGGAAGTGGAGGAACTAGGAGGAGAGGAAGATGAGGAGGAAGTGGAGGAACTAGGAGGAGAGGAAGATGAGGAGGAAGTGGAGGAACTAGGAGGAGAGGAAGATGAGGAGGAAGTGGAGGCTGAAGAGATCAATGAGAGAGAAGCAAAAACAGAAGGGAGAGGAAAATGTCAAGAGGAGAAAGTGGAGGAAGTGGGAGGAGAGGAAGATGAGGAGGAGGATGAAGACGACGATGAGACGGGAGAGCACAGGTGAGGAAGGAGAATATCAAGAAGAGGAAGTGGAGATTGTGGGAGGAGAGGATGAAGAGGAGGAGGATGAAGAGGAGGACGAGGAACCAGATGAGGGAGGTGGTGGTGGAGGGAGGGAGGGATGCGGGCGTGCTGACGTGGAAGCAGGTGATTCTGATGGCACTCCCATCCCCGCACCTTCAGGTGATTCTGATGGCACTCCCATCCCCACACCTTCAGGTGATTCTGATGGCACTCCCATCCCCACACCTTCAGGTGATTCTGATGGCACTCCCATCCCCACACCTTCAGGTGATTCTGATGGCACTCCCATCCCCACGCATTCGGGTTTTGTTGAACCTGCTGAGTTCATGCCTGGCGGTACGATCTCTGCTCTGGGGGATCATGAAAGAGGAGAAGAGGAGAAGGAGGTTGGGGAGGAGGAGGAGGCGGAGGAGGAGAAGGAGGAGGAGTGGGAGGAGCAGGAGGAGAAGGAGGAGGAGGAGGCGGAGGAGGCGGAGGAGAAGGAGGAGGAAGATGAGGTGGTGGTGGTGAAGGAAGGTGAGGCTCAGGAGGAGGATGAAGAAGAGGAGAGGAGAGCAGAGGAAGCAGGAAAGAATCAGACAAGCATAGCGCGCACCTGTGACGACCCAAGCCACCAGCAAGGGTCAGCAGCGCGCACAGAGAACACGAAGCAGGAAGCCCTGGAGCGTCTTGTGTTCCATCTTGGTTTCATGGGGGTTCTAGGCCTCGTGAAGCCTCTTATTACACCCACTGAGCAACTGTTCACTAGTCGGGGCTTGAAGCTGGCAGATGTTGATACATTTGTTGAGGAAATGGTGCGGAGGAGGAATGACAGAGGTGGGGTAAGTGGTGGGGGAGGGGATCGAAGGATGGGCTTGGGAGGGTGTGGTGGGGCTGTGGTGGTTGGTGAAGGAGTGGCCGGTGTTGGTGCCAATGCAGCAGGGAGGATTAGTGCCAGGAAGCGCAAGTTTGGAAATGCAGGTTCTGTGCTGGGGAAAGAGAGCAGGGGCGTATCGAAGAGGTGCCATGACAGGAGATGGAGTCAAATCACCTGACTGCCTTTGTCAACGCTCGCAACTTGGGCAGGATCTAGGTTTTGAGACATCTCCGATCTTAGGCGGAGGAGTGAAGGGACTTGTTTGGCCTTGGCTGTGATCTCAGGCAGGATCTTGAAGTTTTGACTCGAGTGCAATGCAGGAGGAGGCTGAGGAGGAGGCTGAGGAGGAGGTGGGGAGGAAGGCTTAAAGGGAGGAGAGGAGGGAGGCTGAGAGGGGGAGGAGGAAGGTTGAGAGGGAGAAGGTTGGGCGAGAGGAGTTTCAGGGAGATGAGGAAACGAGTGGGGAGGAAAGGGGTGTGCGTGAGGTAGAGTGGGGAGGGTGGTGAAGAGGGGAATGCAGACTAGGGGCCAGAGTGGGCTGCAGTGAGTGAGAGTGGGCGACTGCAGTGATGGCAAGAGTGAGGGAGGCTGGAAAGTGGATGGGAGGAGGAGGTGTGGCGTGCAATCGGTAGTGGTGGTGGTGGTGGGTTGGAGTGGTATGAAGGAATGATTGGTTGGTGGGTCATGGGTGTGGGATTTTGTTGGTGCCTCTTGTGTGTTGTGCTAGTTTCTGCTTAACATGCCACCTAACCCTTGTCCTTTTCTTGTAAATATCCTTCTTGCTTGATTGATTCCACTGACTTCTTCCTTTTCATACCGTAGTACTGTGTAGAGAGCAGGGGCTGTGTGAAAACCAATAGCGTATGTCAGGTTTAGGAGTTGCATGTGTCAGTGAAAAATTATATGTATGTGGCTGTTGGTACACTACCTTTTGTACTCTACCATACATTCTCTTAGCCATCAGCAAGTACACAAAAGTAATCCTATGCTCTGTGCTGTGCTAGTTCGGCTTGCTAGGCCAGGAATGATGACCATGGGTTCAGCAATTTGAGTTTGGGTGGGAGGCTTGCCATGCCAATGTCACCCTAAGGGTACCGTCATACCCCGGATATAAGCGCCACCCTTGGATAAGCGCCTGGCGCTTTTAATTGGCGCATGGCGCTTATATTCGCTGCTAGATTATAAGCGCACCCCCTGAAAAAAACCTGTTTTATTATAAGCGCACGTAAACTTTAATTCTTGAAATGTGTTCAAAATCTTGTAACGAATTTTACTTTAGCAGGCGGATGTCTCCAGATTCGGTTCCCTTCACATTCGGACCCTGCACTGGATGCGGGTCCAGTCAGCAGGAGCTGTCAGGAGCTGTCAGAAGCTGTCAGATTTGGTGTATCTCCCAGTGCGCGCGAGAATTTCACAGACGACCCCATGTAACTTCGACTCGATTGAAAATGCAAGCATGAGATCTACAGCTTGGTGTTAAAAAATGTATAAACTATATATGTCGTTTTATAAACGCCGGCGCTTATAAATTTACCCGATTATAAGCCCACCCCCCTAAAAAAAACCTGTTTTATTATTGCCCCCCATGGGGGTATATCCGGGGTATGACGGTACATCCCTCCCAAGAGCCTAAGTTTGCCCATCTTTATGCTCATCTCAAACTTCATGCTTTCTTTCCAGAACAACCCTCTCGTCTCGTCAACCGTTACAATCATTCCTGCCTGGTGCTGTGGAGTGTGAGTCAACTTGAGCAATCAACAGTTGAAATGCCTCATTCTTTTCTTATCTCCTGATTCCTGTCCAGCCTTCTCCCCTCCCCTATGCTGCTCTCCAACGGACCTCACATCTCCATCGGAAATCTCAGGTGAAGCACCAGATCCCTCATCTCTTCCCCCCCCCTGCTACCGCTGCTGCTGCTTCTGCTCCTTCATCTTCATTATCATCATCTGTTTCCGCTGCTGCTCGTCGCTTTCCCTTAGACCCTTCCGCCTCCGCCGCGTCACCAGCCGCAACAGCTATCACAGTACCCGGCTCCCCTCCTTGCACGTGCGGTCCCACCACGAAAACATTCCACCACGCCTCGAAAGCCGCGCTTTGCTCCGCATCAACTTTCAACGGGCGGGTTTGGCCAGTGAAACTGCCCCAATCGTCGGGTAAAGTGACTGTGGTGGTGAACCTAGGGTCGTGAGAGGGCCCTTCCTGGATTGTATCGTAAACCGGTTGGCGGTTCTTCAACATGCGCACGCAGTCGTTTTGTAACACGTTCTTCGCAAAATGCTTGGCGACCCTTTTCGCATAATCCGCCACGTGCTCGGCGCTCGCAGGTGGCTCCGCGTCCGGGAAAGAGATATTTCCAAGGAGAGCATCGCGAAATGCTGCTCGGTGAGCCATCTCCTTCATCTCATTTTTCTTGCCCCGTGATACCAAGAAGATGAGATGCTCTGCTGGAATTTTTTCCCTGGAAAGTATCTGGCCCGCTTCCTTGCTTCCGCGAAACGTTTTTGCGCCGAAGGTAACCTGGTGATCCCATCTAAGATAATAAGACGGGCCGGTCGGGCGGATTTCGGAATCTTCAGGTGGTTTGAAACGGAGATCGGACGTGAGGTGGAGTAGCATCTTGACGAACATGATGGTTTTTCGGCGGCAATCAACCACGGCGCTTGTGGAATTACAAGCTCTAGGACACCAGAAACGACAGCACGTGAAGGAAAAATACAGATCTGATTATGTTGTGAAACATCCTTCCTAAAGTTCCTAAAGACTGGAAAGCTCCATCGCGCAGCCATCATCTCACGCGTTTTTCGGGATGAGTGGCATGGCCCCCTAGCTTGTTGAACGTACAAGTTTCACCCTACAATTCGGGATGCGTAGCATAGCCGCCAAGCTTGATGAAGGCACCAAGTTTCATGCTGGTGCGTTTTGCGATGACCTGCCGTAACTGACGAACAGCACGACTGAGAACGAAGAAACTTTCGCAACACGTGACATTTACGCATTCTATTTCGCTCGTCGCAAATAGTCGTGGTGATGGCAATGTGTGCATTTGTCTCGAGCCACCCTCTCTGCGTTGCAAAGGTTCGTTATTGTTGCAAGACAGAGCGTGACAAAAATACATGTACACTTCAGTACAAGCACAACTTCGCACACCCCTCCCCACACCACTCACACTCCAGAAACCCCTTTTTATCCCCAGAACACTAACCAGAAAGTGTTCAGCACTGGTGTTAACGGTTCATTACCCAGACATTTTTTTTGGCAGGCCATCTCGCTAAAAACACAGCATCTTGACTAACCTCATCCATTCAATTGCACACCTAAGTCAAATGCACTTCACTTGCAATCCAATATACAATGGAGGTCATACCGTACCAGCTGATAAGCGCACTAACTTATCCACCGTATACCGGTACTTGTAATGGTGAAGTATTTGCAGCTTCAGGAGGAGGCCAGGGATAAGGCGTCAAACACGGCTCGCTCCCGATCCATGAAGAAAGAGGTGATGGCTGATAAGCGCGTGAGCTTATCGACATGGTAATTGACGTGAACAGCCACTGCTGATCCTACTAGAGACTGCAGCCTGCCATAGTCCCGCTTGAGCTGCCCAAAGAGAACCTACAAGGGGGATGAAGAACAACGGGAGAACAGTGAATGGTCAAGGTGACTTTTAACTTGACCCAAAATACCGCATTTTTTGTCCCGCTTGAGCTCCTTGAAGAGAACCAGTAAGCGGGATGAGGGGGTAGAGACAGGAGACTGGAGACTGATCAAGCGAGCAGATTACACCGCAGGCATGACAAACAGGATCATTCCATATCCCCCGCAGGGCTATCAGCTTGAACGAACTCTGACCATGACTGGCAACACAACATGAGCGAGGCCAAGAGCGGCCTACCTTTGAGTTGATGAACCGATGGATGTCCAGCACTCGCCGGGAGATGAACACGCCCTTGTAGTCCGGCCGTGACGGGTAGAACATCTCCTCATTGAACACCACCAGCGGGCTCAACAGCCCCGAAATCCCGCCCCCTCCTCTCGCCGCCGCCCCCAGCCGAGCCGCCACCCGATCAAAGAGCTCCAGAGCAGGAGCGGTGGGTCGAACCAGGAAGAAGCCGGAGTCCATGGCGAATACTCGCATTGTGTGGGCGTATCTGGCCCAGCCCATAGACGGATCGTCAGTAACGTCGTTGTAACCGTACGCGGATGCTTGATCATGCCCGACGCTCATAGCTTCCACGTCACAGTCCCGAACCAGCTCTCCTGACGAGAACGGGTTACGGAGAATGGTAACGTCGAGGTCTGAGACTAGGATGGAGTATCCCAGGGCTAGAGCATCTCGTAGAACGTAGAATTTGGCGCCGTTTAGACTGTCGATTACCGAGGCTGCGCGCTGGTTCGGGCTCTCGTTCGCTGAGGCTTGCGTGGGTGAGAACGCGGCAGGGAGGTTCGGGACGAGGTAGCAGGCGACCTGGTTTGCTGAGGCTGCGTTACAAGCTGCTTCGGTAGCCGGATCCAGGCAGAGGACGAGAGCATTGGTAATGCCGACTCTCACCACTTGCCTTATCCAAATCTCCATAAAATTCTGCACTTCTGCTGCAGCAACAGTGGCTAGAATCTCCTTTTCCGAAGCTATTTTAAGCAAAAGAGACTCCAAGGCAGGGTCGACCCCCTCTGAACTCGGAACCACCGGCGGGTTGGTTCGGGGAAACCGAACCTTTCCGGCAGGTCCGGCCCGAACCGGCTTGAATGCACTTGGTTGGTCCGGCGTTCCCGTGCCTTCAATAACCCTGATGCCTGAAGAACCGTCCTTAGATGACCCCTCCCCTCCCCCCAGAGTTTGCGCCTGAGAGAGAAGCAGGTTCAAACGTTCCTTCGTCTCGTCTCGTGACCGTTCGATAGATTTTATGGTCGCTTGCAGCTCCTCGATTTTTTTCCGGGCAGATTCGGTTTGCTCGTGGATTTGCTCGGCTCGCTCTTCTGGATCCGGAGAGAGGGGCGGGAACCCGGGCTGTATAAAAACGATTGGGAAAACGATGCCAATGGAGGTGGGACGGCAAAGAAAACGGACGGGAACAAAGGAGGATATATGATGTGAACGTGATGAAAAATAATGCAAGGCAAGAGAAGGGGCCACAAGAGATGATGAGGAACTACACTTGAGGAGCTGCAAGCGACCATAAAAAGTCGTGGAGGAAGGACGAAAGACAGTATAATGACACGAACTGGTGGTGATTCAAATACGTGTGACCGATCTGTCACACAAGTAGGTGTGGAGAGAACATGAACTCATGCAGAAAATTGACTAGAATGCAAGAGGTGTACTTCTTACAATCGCTAAAGAACTAACCACCACCACGACCAGGCGCTATTCCAGGACACAGGTGGTAATCAGGTTACTGGAAACCCGTCTGAGCCACTGAGGATTCATTAACCACATGGTAATGAATTTGTGACCATTCCAACCTACCTGCGATTCGACAATAGCAGCAGCGGATTGCTCCTCTGAACACCATGATTGCCAGCACCAGCATTAGGTTTGCCATCCCTGTGGTAACCACACTACTTGTAACCAGGTGAGCTTAACTGGGATTCGACAATAGCAGCAGCGGATTGCTCCTCTAGTGATTGTTGAACAGTAAACACCATTCCCGCCGCTTTACGCTTGCCATATGTGGTGGCCACACTAGATGTGACCATCTGAACCCACCTGGGATTCGACAATAGCAGCAGCGGCTTGCTCCTCTAGTGACCGTTGAACGGTGAACACCACCACCGGCTGAACCAGCTTTAGGGTTGCTATCCTGGTGGTAATCACACCTACTTGTAACCATCTGAGCTTACCTTATATTTGACAATAGCAGCGGGCGGATTCCTCCTCTATTGGCACGTTGAACGGTGAACACCAACACCGCCAGCACCAGCATTAGGGTTGCTATCAGGGCAAATCTTTCGTTTTTGAAGGCACGGAAGACTCCGGGTTCGCCTGAGAAAAGGCCCTGAAGAATCAGCGTTCTCTTGAAAGTTACCCTTCCGTGTCCGTGTGTTTTTCCAAAAATCCGAAAATGCACAAGAGCGGTCCTATCACCCTAGGCGCAAGAGGCTCTAAAACGTCTAAGTTGGTTGGGCAAGGACCAACAAACATGAAATTACATTTTGTTTGACGGCACTTATGGGCATCGTTGCATTCGACATCCTACACAAGAACTAGTACCGAGCTAAAATCTCAGGATTGTTTTCGAAACAATACTGAAGTTCCCGAACGCTCAGCCAAATCATCCGGAAATGGTCCGGATGATTTCTAGAACGATTCTGATGAATCAGGGTTAGCCGACAAAACATACGGAATGTACCTGAGTTTCAGAGTGTTTACCCTGATACCGAGAGCCCTGGTTGCTATCCTGGTGGTAACCACACCTACTTGTAACCATCTGAACCCACCTGGGATTCGACAATAGCAGCAGCGGATTGCTCCTCTAGTGACCGTTGAACGGTGAACACCACCACCGCCAGCACCACCCCAAAGGTCACCGCGAGGCAGATCTTGCGGTCCGTTAACCCCTTTCCAGATTCCCGCTTAGGGATTCCGGCTCCCGCTCCTTGCATGATCGACACTTTTACGCCGGCTGGGTAATCAGCTCGAAGTAATAAAGCTTTGCAAGTGTTTTTCGATTCGGATCCTACAGCAGCAGATTCGCAATGGAGCGGTGACAGGGGCTGACACTAGAGCGAGATTGGAGACGGAAATCAACGAGCGCTTATAACGCGGTAGCGATTTCCAGGAGCGAGAGAAATTACCAAAACGAGAGTAAAAACTCGTGAAGCAAAATTTCAGAACTTGTGTTTCAGCGGGTTTCAAAGGGACGCATGATCACGTGGCACGTAAGAAACTGCTGGATCAAGCAAGTGCGAGAGAGGATAAAGTGGTCTTCGGATAAACCACCGAGATAAGCTAGAAGGCAACGGGAACAGGGAAGCCTATCCGCACCAAAAAAAGGGTTTCGACACCAACACCGCCCTGCGCGGGGGTTCCGGAAAGCTGCTGATGATAAGCTAAAAGGCCTAGCAGAATGCGTCAATTTTACAATTCCGAGATCGCCTGAAGGCGGCCGTAATGAAGATGGTTTCGAAAAAGGGTGAATGCTCCTAGTAATCACCAAACCCCGGAAAATGGAAACGTGGAATACATCTGTTATGCATAAAGCATAATACGGTGAAGTAAGCACATCAAACCAAGGAAAAAATGATCCTGAGACCCCCACTGCCCGTTTTATATATTCTGAATTGAAACAAATTATTTTCACAGAATCGTGTTCCCAACAACCACATTTCCTTCTTTCACGCATATCATCCCTCGATTTTGTAACGGAAACAGCAAAGTTGTCGGAACCCGCATGAGCAGAAATTTGGCTCCAACAGGAACCGAGATGGGCCCCAGTTCACTTGCTCTGCTGCGGCGATCACCTTGCAAGCACTCGGCAAGGCCCACAGGTCTCATTGGCTCACGGGACCCTTGGTCTTCACAGGTATAATGAGAAATGCCCTTATCAGTTCTGTCACCTTCCCGATTGCCACCTGTAGTGCTATTACAACAACTGCCACCAGCACCACTGCTACCAACCCCACCACCAGTACCAGCAGCAGTCGAAGTAGCAGCGGCATCAGCACCAGCAGCATTGTCAGGTAGAGGAGGGCCAGAGGCAGCAGCATCAGAAAAACCTGTGCTTCCACCTCTACAGAGTGATGCACTAGGAGGGAAGGATGCGAATTCAGCACCGCAAATCCCACTAACGCCATTCCCACTGGCGCCATTCCCACTGGCGCCATTCCCACTGGCGCCATTCCCACTGGCATGAAGCCCTGCTGGAAGCACCTCGACAAAAAAGTCGTTTGCCACGTCACCGTCCGCATCTTGGTGAAGTGAAGTGATGTACCAGGTCAGGCTCTGGTGGGGGGATTAGGGTTGGGGTAGGAGAACAAATGGACAGCAGGAGCGAAGAAAGACAAGCCTTGGTGAGGAGGGAATTGAGGCACCAAGTCAGGCTCTGTTAGGTGGATGAGGGGTTTGGGAAGAGAACAGCAGGTTAGAAAGAGTGAAGAGGGACAAGTCTTGGTGAGGAGGGAATTGATGCACCAAGTGAGGCTCTGGTGGGTGGTGGGGGAACGAGTGACAGGGGACAAAGGAAGGTGAGGAAGAGAGTGAGAAAACTTAAGACTTGCTAAGACTTCATTGCAAAACAGAAGGGATGAAAGCATTTTCCTTGAGCACACACATGCTAGACACAGGGCCAAAGTCAAACAGCAATGCTGCGCCAACCAATCAGGGCCGACACAGCTCCACTGCCTGGGTCGTCCCGAAGGGTTGTCACAATCGTTCCTAAGATTCAACACGAAGTGCCACCACGATCGCCAATTCCTGAAACGCAGTAACAATGCTGTAACAGCCAGTGGCCCACTGCTCAGCAACAAAGCGGTAACAACCCACGCCTTCTTGCATCCGTACCCGCCTCCCATTTCCCCACCTGCACGCCTCCGTCTCCGCGCTTAGCCAGCCGAATCAGAGGCCGCCACGTCAGCCCGTTGCTGTCAGTCTGAAGCTCCCCAATCGCGTCTGCTGAGCACCCCTCCGGACCCTCCCCATCCCCACGCCTCTCCCCCCTTCCACCACCCCTTCGCCTTGCCCTGTCATACATACCCATTGTCTCTTCTTTCCTCCCCCCACTCGCCCCTCTATTCCTTTCCCTGTCCCCTTTCCTCCCCATCTCCTCCTCCCTCGCTCCTCCTCCCATCCCCCAAAACCCGCGCCCGTTTCCTGATCTATCCCAGAAGCCTCCTCCTTCCCCGTCAACACCCTCGCCCTCGTTATTGTCATCCTCGTCCTCGTCGTCATCGTCAAAAAGCTCGTACACAGTTTTGAAGAATTTCCCAATGGCGTGCATACTGCCTTTGGCTTCGAACAACGAGTGAAAGGGCGAATAACGAGGATACTGCCAATTTGTGGAGAAGAGGGGAGAAGGGGGAATGGAGCATGATCAGAGAGGCAGGAAAAGGGGGAAGGGAGGGGGAAGGAGGAGCAGGGTGGAGAGACGGGTTGAGAGGAGATAAAGCGGACAAGGACAGTGGAGACGAGATACAGTGTCAAGACGACGAAAACAGATCTGGTGCTTATTCATATCGACTCAACAAACCCCTTACGATTCGATAATCAGTGAGTCAATCATGTAGGGAGCCGATCAGAAAGGCGGAAACAGAAACACAATTTGACTGTCCGCTCTCTGGACGTCAATTTTCACAATCTTATCAAACAGGATAGAATGATGACCTCGCCGTCCCTGTCAGTGTTCGGCCGATCAGCAGTAACCGCGCCGCGAGGTTATGCGACGTACGGTCGACGCAACGGCCTCTCGGCGGCTTGGAAATTCAGGATCGCGGAGCCACTTTAGACGCCTTTGGAGTCGACTCAAATCAGAATTCAGGGTCGTCGGCGCCGCTTTGGATCAGATTCAGCAGTCGCCGAGGAACGCGATTCGCGCAAACGGATACGGAGGGTAAATCCGGCAGGGCTGGATTGCGCGTCCGACGCAACAGCTGGAAGCGAGGGTGGCTACTAAGTATCTGGCTCGTCGACGTTATGACTTCGCTATTTGTCAACCTGCAGAGAGCTAAGGCACTTCGATCAGTGTAGCGTGGAAGTTCCGTCCGCAGAAGCTAATGGGACCAGCACGCAGCAGAAACACCCGATTGTCCAACTCCCGCTATCTTACCTCGGGATTTGTGCAGAGGAAGTAGTGTGGCTATACCCGTTGATAGAAGGTCACAGTGGATCGAAATACATAAATACAAATATAAACACAAGTCGAGCATATGAAACAGAGGACAATCACAGATACAAGGCCAGATAAGCTGGTAGCATACAAGACAGAATGAAACAAACAAATATTGCAAATTACCTAGCATAAGATAAGAGGGTTTTTTTTTAATATATATACAGCAACTCCCTTATTCTTTACAACCCTGCAATATGCGTATGTTAGCTTTCATGCTACTGAGGTGATGCCACTGTTGAGTTCCCAGATTCCGACAACCTTTCAGTCACCTCTTTTTGAGCCAGCTCCCTCGCAGTCAACTCAGTACCACCCAACAAGGGCCCAGACTCCTCGTCCCCCAATCCCCCTGTTGTTTTTGCTCCTGCTCTTGCTGCAGCTTCCTGGAAGTCTCCTTTGCTTTCAGTTCCTGGTTAAAAAAAAAAAATAAGCGCGGGAGGAGGGAGAGAAGTACCATGTAGAGAAAAGCAGCTAGAAACGAAGAACAAAGTCTGCTGAAAGAGCGGAAAGAAGATGAAGAACAACAAATCAAAATTAAGGCTTGAAACAAATACTGCTGGTAAGTTACCAAGCAGGAACAACACAGGGAGGACGAGCGGGATGCGATGGGTGGTGGGGTTCTTTGTACATGGTAGAGGGGACCATTTTTGAGACGTCAGACACCAGATCAGTACCTGTAATCGGGACTTTTGAGACCTCTCAAAAGTCGGGATGCGATGGGTGGTGGGGTTCTTTGTACATGGTAGAGGGGACCATCAAGACAAGACACCAAATCAGTACCTGTAATCACAAGTTACTATACCTACATTCTTTTCATAGCAGCGTATCTGTACCTTTCTGTACCGTACATGTATTTGAACATACAAGACCTGCATTTATAATAACATAGCACCTGTACTATTATTAGCTGTACCAAGAATTTTGCCTTCATGTGCGACACAAAAATCCTTGTTGAATTATAGTACCTGTGCCTTTGCCTCACTGTATCTATAACTTCATGTACAGCACCTGGATCCTTTCTATATCATTGCACCTCTGGGTTGAATATACTGTACCCATAGCTTCATGCTGTTGTACCCAGCAAAGGCCAAAAGATAGCCAATCGGGTTGATTTACTATACCTGTACCTTTATCATACTGTACCTGTAGCTTCATGCTGTTGTACCAGCAGACCCCAACAAACGCCAGAAGATAGCCAATCAGGTTGATTGCCGTGACTCGATCGCGGATAACCGACCATGAGAACGCAATCAGCAGCCAGTCCTTAACCACTCCTGAGCCACGCAATAAAGGGGATGAATAAAGGTAAGACATTTGGACGAGTTAAATTTCCATGGCTCAATCGGGGATAACCGACCATGAGAACGCAATCTGCAAGGGAGTGCTTAACCACTCCTGAAGACACACAGTACAGGGGATGAAATGAAGTAAGGATTTTGGAACAAGGCTTACTACTGTGGCGTTATGAATGTGGTGTCGTGGATCGTCATGGATCGTTGTGGATCATCATGGATCGTCATGGATCAACTATTAAGAATACTATTAATAGCGAGTCCTACCATTGAAGCAACTCAGCCAGGTCAGCAAAGCACGAGACGCTATGTGGCATGGGAGGGAAGAGCAGGAGGGATGAGTATGAGAAACGGGTTACCAGCAATGTACCTTCCACTCCATGTACAGTGCAGTTGGGTACGAGAAGCACGGTTGCAGGCTTAGAGGGGAGGGCGAGAGAGGGGCGATATGTACCTTCCACAGACTACCTAACTGCCACGAGGTGACTTTCGAGTCGACCCAAAGTCACCAGACTACCTAACTGCCTTTTGAGGCGCCTCAAAAGTCACCAGACTACCTAACTGCCTTTTGAGGCGCCTCAAAAGTCACCAGACTACCTAACTGCCTTTTGAGGCGCCTCAAAAGTCACCAGACTACCTAACTGCCTTTTGAGGCGCCTCAAAAGTCACCAGACTACCTAACTGCCTTTTGAGGCGCCTCAAAAGTCACCAGACTACCTAACTGCCTTTTGAGGCGCCTCAAAAGTCACCAGACTACCTAACTGCCTTTTGAGGCGCCTCAAAAGTTCCACAGACTACCTAGCTGCCACGTTCCATGTACCTGCCGTTACGCAGACAATGAGCCCTGACGTTCATGGTGACAGCTGATGTCTTCCCAATGAGCAGGAAGACGGCGAGGTTGAGAGAGAACGCACAGGCGCAGTTGGCGAAGACAAGGACGAGTGTGGGTTGAGTGGGGATGGTGAGCGAGGGAACAATACGTACCTTCCACACAACACGTACCTGCCAGGTACCTTCCACACAACACGTACCTGCCACGTACCTTCCACACAACACGTACCTGCCACGTACCTTCCACACAACACGTACCTGCCACGTACCTTCCACACAACACGTACCTGCCACGTACCTTCCACACAACACGTACCTGCCACGTACCTTCCACACAACACGTACCTGCCACGTACCTTCCACACAACACGTACCTGCCACGTACCTTCCACACAACACGTACCTGCCACGTACCTTCCACACAACACGTACCTGCCACGTACCTTCCACACAACACGTACCTGCCATGTACCTTCCACACAACACGTACCTGCCACGTACCTTCCACACAACACGTACCTGCCACGTACCTTCCACACAACACGTACCTGCCACGTACCTTCCACACAACACGTACCTGCCACGTACCTTCCACACAACACGTACCTGCCACGTACCTTCCACACAACACGTACCTGCCACGTACCTTCCACACAACACGTACCTGCCACGTACCTTCCACACAACACGTACCTGCCACGTACCTTCCACACAACACGTACCTGCCACGTACCTTCCACACAACACGTACCTGCCACGTACCTTCCACACAACACGTACCTGCCACGTACCTTCCACACAACACGTACCTGCCACGTACCTTCCACACAACACGTACCTGCCACGTACCTTCCACACAACACGTACCTGCCACGTACCTTCCACACAACACGTACCTGCCACGTACCTTCCACACAACACGTACCTGCCACGTACCTTCCACACAACACGTACCTGCCACGTACCTTCCACACAACACGTACCTGCCACGTACCTTCCACACAACACGTACCTGCCACGTTCATGGTGAGAGCTGATGTCTTCCCAATGAGCAGGAAGACGGCGAGGTTGAGAGAGAAAGCACAGGCGCAGTTGGCAAGGAAAAGGACGAACTCAGGTTGATAGAAGACGGTGAGGGCGCAAGAGATCTGTACCTTTCCACATACCTTTCACGTACCTTCCACGAGCCCATCACTACGCACGTACCTGCTACATTCATAGTGAGGGCAGACGTCTTCCCAATCAGCAGGAAGACGGCAAGGTTGAGAGAGAACGCACACGTGCAGTTGGCGAGGAAAAGGACGAGCGCAGGTTGAGCGGGGATGGTGAGGGAGGGAGCGAGGCGCGGGTACTCGACGAGCAGCCAGGGGAGGGAGAGGAAGAGGAGGCAGACTGGCGAGATGTAGAAGAGGGATGTGATGGGATTGAGAGAGACGCCCTTGGCTGTCAGGAGGATCTGCAGAACAGAGAGGAGAGAACGGTAGAGGGGAGCAAGTGAAGCGAGGAGCGAGCTGTGAGAAAGGAGGACTGAAGAGATGAGGTAGAGGGATGTGATGGGATTGAGAGACACACCCTTGGCTGTCAGGAGGATCTGCAGAACAGAGAGGAGAGAACGGTAGAGGGGAGCAAGTGAAGCGAGGAGCGAGCTGTAAGAAAGGAGGACTGAAGAGATGAGGTAGAGGGATGTGATGGGATTGAGAGACACACCCTTGGCTGTCAGGAGGATCTGCAGAACAGAGAGGAGAGAACGGTAGAGGGGAGCAAGTGAAGCGAGGAGCGAGCTGTGAGAAAGGACTGAAGAGATGTAGTAGAGGGATGTGATGGGATCGAGAGACACGCACTTGGCTGTCAGGAGGATCTGTGATGGGGACAGAGATTGTTGGTTTTGGGGGTTGGGGGAAAGTGAGGGAGAAAGAGGGACTGACGAGATGTAGAAGAGGGATGTGATGGGATTGACGCCATTGGCTGTGAGGAGGATCCGTGATGGGGAGGGGAGAGAGAAAGGCAAGTAGGGGTGGAGGACAGTGAGGGGAAAAGGTTGTCAGATGGACTGACGAAATGTAGAGGAGGGAGGTGACGGGATCTTTGAGATGTAAAATGTTATCTCAAAAATACACTTCTTACACCCAAGGGATCGACGGAGACTCCCTTGGGTGTCAGGAGGATCTGTGACGGGGAGGGGGAAACGCAGGGCACAGGGCAAACTCTTCAAGTCTACAGCCCAGCCCACAGACGAAAGACTTTTGAGAATTCTCAAAAGTCACTCCAATACAGGGCAAACTCTTCAAGTCTACAGCCCAGCCCACAGACGAAAGACTTTTGAGAATTCTCAAAAGTCACTCCAATACAGGGCAAACTCTTCAAGTCTACAGCCCAGCCCACAGACGAAAGACTTTTGAGAATTCTCAAAAGTCACTCCAATACAGGGCAAACTCTTCAAGTCTACAGCCCAGCCCACAGACGAAAGACTTTTGAGAATTCTCAAAAGTCACTCCAATACAGGGCAAACTCTTCAAGTCTACAGCCCAGCCCACAGACGAAAGACTTTTGAGAATTCTCAAAAGTCACTCCAATACAGGGCAAACTCTTCAAGTCTACAGCCCAGCCCACAGACGAAATTGGCCTCTCCAGACAAAAACCTATCATGAGTCGACTCAGAAACAGGCTCTTCAAGTCTACAGCCCAGCCCACAGACGAAACTCGCCTCCCCATATGTTGCCATCGCCACCCTGATGGTGATTTTTGAGACGTCAGAAAAGCTGCCATCGCTACCCACCCTGATGGTGATGGCTGGCTACCCACCCTGTTGGACAACCCCAGTTGAGCGTCAAACCAAACGGGCTTCCAGACGAGCATCACATGAGGAAGCACATGAAGGAAGGAGGAGACCCCGATTGGCCTTCCCCTTCTCCTTCTACGCCCTGCGCGCAGGGGTGCTGCTGCAGCTGGGGGCTGTTTGCCTTGAGGCCCTGCGCGTCCCCTTACACAGGTATGAGAATAAGGCGCAGGGCCTCAAGGCAGACAGCCACCAGCTGCAGCAGCACAGCACCCCAGAGGTGTTGATATTCGCCTCTCCACAACGCACGCGGCCATGGCCACCCCCCCTTTTGAGGCGCCTCAAAAGTCGTCTCAAGGCAGACAGCCACCAGCTGCAGCAGCACAGCACCCCAGAGGTGTTGATATTCGCCTCTCCACAACGCACGCGGCCATGGCCACCCCCCCTTTTGAGGCGCCTCAAAAGTCGTCTCAAGGCAGACAGCCACCAGCTGCAGCAGCACAGCACCCCAGAGGTGTTGATATTCGCCTCTCCACAACACACGCGGCCATGGCCACTCCCCCCACGGTGATTGCGAGCGATCAGCCTATAAAGGGCAAAACAATCAAGCTTGTTTTTGAGTCGACTCGAAAATAATCAAGCTCGCAGCTCACCTGTATGAGCACGAGCCGCGAAGCTTCAAAGCACACATACAGCCCCCAGGTGCTTTTGAGACGTCTCAAAAGCAAAACAATCAACCTCGCAGCTCACCTGTATGAGCACGAGCCGCGAAGCTCCAAAGCACACAGCCCCCAGCTGCTGCAGCACCCTTTTGAGCCCCTCAAAAGTTGTTTGAGCACGAGCCGCGAAGCTTCATTCAAAGCACATACACAGCCCCCAGCTGCTGCAGCACCTCTGAGGCGTTGAAATTGGGTGTAGAAAGGTTATTTTTGAGACGTCTCAAAAATAGCTGCTGCAGCACCTCTGAAGCGTTGAAATTGGCCTCCCCGTACGCCGCCACCACCGCCACCCCCACTGTAATCGCGACCATGTTGGCAAAAGACTCTACCTGTTCCTCCATATATCTAAGGGCGTTTAGCATGTAGCTCACCTGTATGAGCACAAGGCGTAGAGCCTCAAAGCACACGGCGGCGAGCTGCAGCAGCACTCCAGCGGCGTTGAAATTGGCCTCCCCATACGCCGCCACCGCCACCCCCACTGTGATGGCTACCATGTTGGCAAAGGCAGAAGTGCGGAAGGACTCTCGAGTGAAAAGCACCCCTAGGAGGTAGACGGCGACAGGCATGGGGAGGTGTGTATGGGGTCGGGAGGGGGGGAGAGGGAGTGAGGGGGTGACATGAGTGAAGGAAAATTCGCCTTCCCATATGCATGCAGCGATTGCCACCCCTGCTGTGATGGCTACCATGCTGGCGAAGGCAGAGGTTCGAAAAGACTCTCGGGTAAAAACCACCCTTAGGAGGTAGACGGCGACTGCCATGAGGGCTTTGAGCATCTGGAGAAGAGTGGATGGGAGGGGAAAGGGGAGAAACCATGTTGGCGAAGGCAGAGGTTCGAAAAGACTCTCGTGTGAAGAGCACCCCTAGGAGGTAGACGGCGACTGGCATGAGGGCCTTGAGCATCTGAGAGAGGCGTGTATGGGGTCGGGAGGGGGGGAGAGGGAGTGAGGGGGTGACATGAGTGAAGGGAAATTCGCCTTCCCATATGCATGCAGCGACTGCCACCCCTGCTATGATGGCTACCATGTTGGCAAAGGCAAAGGTTCGGAAAGTCTCTCGAGTGAAAAGCAGCCCTAGGAGATACACGGCCTTTGAGGTGCCTCAAAAGGTTCGGAAAGACTCTCGAGTGAAAAGCAACCCTAGGAGATACACGGCCACCGGCATGAGAGCCTTGAGCATCTGGGGGAAAGTGATTGGAAAGGGAAGAAACCATGTTGGCCAAGGCAGAAGTACGGAAGACCTCTTGAGTAAAGAGCACCCCGAGGAGGTAAACGGCGACTGGCATGAGGGCCTTGAGCAACTGATAGGGGAGTGCGAGGGGGGAAAGGAAAGAGACCATGTTGGCCAAGGCAAAAGTACGGAAGGTCTCTTGAGTAAAGAGCACCCCTAGGAGGTGGACAGTGACAGGCATGAGGGCCTTGAGCATCTGAGAGGGGAGTGTATGCAGGAGAAAGGGATTGTTTAGGGAGTGGGAGAGCCGGAAGGCCTCTCGGGTGAAGACGACTACTAGGAGGTGGACAGCGACTGGCATGAGGGCCCTCGGGTTGGTATCAGCGTCAGTCTAGATTACAGTCCAAAGAGGCGCTGGTATTCACTAGATTACAGTCCAAAGTGAATAGTCTCTTTGGTATTCACTCGAGGTACCAAAGAGACCAGGTGGGTAGTGAATAGTCTCTTTGGTATGTTGAGTGCAATCCATAGTTTGCACGGCAACCTACCGCCTATTCGCCAACGGTAATGGAAAATGGGGGAGTTTTGTTTGAAGGTAATTTGTGGCGTGAGAAATGTTCATTTTATTTTGCATTTTGTGTGTGCGCATTTTGTGTGTGTTCTGTGCGCATTTGTTTTTGCATTTTGTGTGTTTCGTTTTCATTCGTAATTGCATTTTGTGTTAGTGCATTTCATTCGTGTTCTCACTGTTCTCATGAAGCGCTCAAATGAGGCTCACATGATACGCTCAAATGAAGCTCTCATAAAGCGCTCAAATGAGGCTCCCATGACGCGCTCAAATGAAGCTCTCATGAAGCTCCAATGAGACTGAAATGAGCTTCCCATGAAAGTGCCATTTGTTTTTAATGTTTCATTCGTGGCTCATGTGAGCGAGTGGTGTACCGTGGGGTGCTTTTGTTGGGCTCGATAGTTTGACTGGGGGGAACAGAGCGCAAGAATCTGGACTGCGTGTGGGGTCCAGATCTCGCGCGTGCCCCTCAGGCTATGCGCGTGTATCATGGACTGTTGCGATCGCGCACAGTGCGCACGATCGCAACAAGACAGGGCGAAAGATCGCCCTGTCACGCGCTGTACAGCGCACGATCGCTGACGCGGTCGCACTGTACAGCACGACCGAGATTTTTTGGTCGTGCTGGATTTCCCCTCGGGGTGGCGCGTGGGTTGTGGGGGGTGCTGCGAGATTTCGAAGGGTGCTCGGAAATTACAGTTGGAAAACTGTATTCGGCGTTGACTCACGGGACAGGGAATTTCTCGCGAAAGTCACACCGCATTGCAGAATGATTTCGCCACAGGTACAATTCGGTTGCTCGCGTCAGGTAACGGTTAAATCCGTTCTAAAACTGTAAACTCGCATGAAACTCATGTGAGTCACATCGGAGGCACATGGGAGCAACGAGTGTTCATGTGAAGAGTCAGCAGGGGCAATTGTCCTAAGTGCTTTTTGAAGACAGGTATTTACAAGAGGGGGAAGAGGACAAAAGCCCAAGAAGTTGAGCAACTGTTTCCTAGTACAGCATGGCGAAGATCCGAAATTCAGTTTTACAACTACTTAGCTATTTCCCTATGCATGTGTGTTAAGCGAAATATAAAACGTGTGCCTGTGCTTGTTTGTGACAATCCTTTCTAGTGGAAAAATATTCTGAATCTCTCTTACGAGTTAACGTGCTCTATCAACGTATTGACGTGAAGAGCTATTTTGCACACGAGCCCGTTTCGTCGTCAACGCTGCGCAACGAATGTTGGGAACGCTCTAGTACACACGATTATTTTTGCACTTAGGGAATTCCCTCTACAAACACGGACCCTTGGATAGGGGCTAGCTCTGCCAGGCACCCAAGGACCCTTGGAGGTGACCCCGTAGGGAGTACCTAGTGTGATTTAAAGATGTGTTTAGAGCCTATAGATCTCACATAGCGGTTAACATGGTATTCATCCAGGTGGGTAGTGAATAGTCTCTTTGGTATTCACTCGAGGATAAAGGTCCAAAGAGACTAATCACTACCCACCTGGATGAAGGAGACGGAGAGGTAGATGTAGGCGGAGTTGTAGGTGGTGTGTTTGTGTGAGGTGAGATGTGGTGTCGTGTGGTGACGTGTGGTGGCGTGTGGTGACGTGTGTCAGCATACACACACTATACCCACCTGTATGAAGGAGACGGAGAGGCAGATGCAGGCCGAGTTGGAGAGCCAGAGGCTGAGCGAGTAGACGGATATGAGGTGAGGTGCGGTGCAGTGTGGTGCGGTGTAGTGTGGTATGCGGAGGATGCAAGCAGTGCAGGCAGCACCACATACACTCACCACACTCAGCACGCTTATTACACCGACTACTCACCTGAATGAACGAAACGGAGAGGTAGATGTAAGCCGAGTTGGAGAACCAGAGGCTGAGTGAGTAGAGCAGAGGGGAGGACGGATGTGAGGTGAGGTGAGGTGAGGTGAGGTGAGGTGAGGTGAGGTGAGGTGACGTGTGGTTACACCCACTTCCCACCTGAATGAAGGAGACGGAGAGGAAGATGTAAGCGGAGTTGGAGAACCAGAGGCTGAGTGAGTAGAGCGCGCGCGCCGATGGGCAGCACTGAGGTGACGTGAGAAGAGGCGTGAGGTGGTGTGCGGTGGGGTGTGGTGTAGTGTGGCCAGAACACTAGCGATCACCCACCTGGATGAAGGAGACGGAGAGGTAGATGTAAGCCGAGTTGGAGAACCAGAGACTGAGAGAATAGAGCGCGCCGATGGGCAGCACAGAGGTGAGGTACTCGGTAGAGAGAGCGATGGGTTCTACCACTTTGAAGACCTTGACGAGAAGGAAGGCGAGGAGCGAACAGAAGGCCATGTGGATCATTGTGAGACTGGTAGAAGGAAGGGGGAAGCAGAGAAAGAGGGGCATGGGAAGCACGGAGGTGAAGCACATCTCTGCGGAGAGATTCAAGGGTTCCGATTCTTGAGGCGCCTCAAAAGTCCGATTCACCAGTCGGAAGACCTTTACGAGAAGGAAGGGGAGGAGCGAGCAGAAGGCCATGTGGATCATGGTGAGACTGGTGGGGAGTGGGGGGGAGAGGTGGGGGAGAAAACGGACGGGGAGAAGGGGGGAATAGGAATGGCGAGCACGGATGTGAGATGCATTTCTGTGGAGAGGCTCATGGGTTTGACACCACTGGGAAGACCTTCACCAAAAGGAAGGCAAGGAGCGAACAGGCCACGTGAATTATGATGAGACTGGTGGGGTGAGATAGAGTTGAGCAGCTGGCCCGGCCCGGCCCGGACCGACCCGACTTGGCCGGGCCACACGGACTCTCGGGGCGGGTCGGGCCAGGCTTGGGCCAGATTATTGAAACTGCCGGACCGACCCGGTGAGAGAGGCGAACAGGGAGGGGAGGAGTGGGGGGATGTGAGAGGGAATGGGCAGGGCAGCTCAGCACAGATGGGAGTGAAGAGAGAGCACAAGGCCATGTGTGGATCATGGTGAGACGGGTGAGGGTGAGAGGGGTGGAGAAAGGGAGGGAAGAGATGAAAAGAGAAGGGGAAGGGAAGGAGGGCAGCGTGGGGAAGCGGGAGCAGCAGGGGGGATCGGGAGGAGCAGGGGGAAGCGGGAGCACCAGGGGAAAGCGGGAACAGCAGGGGGAAGCGGGAACAGCAGGGGGAAAGAGGGAACAGCAAGGGGGCAGCGGAAAAAGCAGGCGGGGGCGGGACTAGAGGAAACGGGATGAGCAGTGGGGAAGAAGATGGAAGAATTTGAAACAAACCCAGTTGCACAAAGAAATGGGAGGTGATTTGAAACAAACCCAGTTGCACAAAGAAATGGGAGGTGATTTGAAACAAACCCAGTTGCACAAAGAAATGGGAGGTGGGAAGAGGGGGTTGAAGCATCTGGATTGGAAAGAAGCAGGTCGTTTGCGACGCTTCCGCGGTAAAGGTGAGGCGGAAAGGGAGGGGAACGAGGCGGAAAGGGAGGGGAACGAGGCGGACGGAGGGGGCGAATGATGGGCGGATAAATGGGGGAAGGATAGGAGGACTGATGGGGCGAATGACGGGCGGATTGATGGGCGAATGATGGGCGGATTGATGGGCGAATTGATGGGGGAATGATGGGGGGAATGATGGGGGGAATGATGGGGGGAATGATGGGGGGAATGATGGGGGGATTGATGAGGGGATTGTTGGGGGGAATGATGGGGGGAATGATGGGGGGATTGATGAGGGGATTGTTGGGGGGAATGATGGGGGGAATGATGGGCGAATTGATGGGGGAATGATGGGGGGAATGATGGGGGGAATGATGGGGGGAATGATGGGGGGAATGATGGGGGGATTGATGAGGGGATTGTTGGGGGGAATGATGGGGGGAATGATGGGGGGAATGATGGGCGGATTGATGGGGGGAATGGTGGGCGAATTGATGGGGGAATGATGGGGGGAATGATGGGGGGAATGATGGGGGGAATGATGGGGGGAATGATGGGGGGATTGATGAGGGGATTGTTGGGGGGAATGATGGGGGGAATGATGGGGGGAATGATGGGCGGATTGATGGGCGGATTGATGGGGGGATTGTTGGGGGGAATGATGGGGGGAATGATGGGGGGATTGATGGGGGGAATGATGGGCGGATTGATGGGGGGATTGATGGGGGGATTGATGGGGGGAATGATAGGAGGACTGATGGGGCGAATGATGGGCGGATGATTGGGGCGAATTATGGCGGGATTAATGGGGGGAATGACGGGCGGATTGATGGGCGAATGATGGGCGGATTGATGGGCGAATGATGGGCGGATTGATGGGCGAATGATGGGCGGATTGATGGGGGGATTGATGGGGGGATTGATGGGGGGAATGATAGGAGGACTGATGGGGCGAATGATGGGCGGATGATTGGGGCGAATTATGGGGGGATTAATGGGGGGAATGACGGGCGGATTGATGGGCGAATGATGGGCGGATTGATGGGCGAATGATGGGCGAATTGATGGGGGAAATGATGGGGGGATTGATGGGGGGAATGATGGGGGGAATGATGGGGGGAATGATGGGGGGTTTGATGGGGGGATTGATGGGGGGATTGATGGGGGGAATGATGGGGGGATTGATGGGGGGATTGATGGGGGGAATGATGGGGGGATTGATGGGGGGATTGATGGGGGGAATGATGGGCGGATTGATGGGGGGATTGATGGGGGGATTGTTGGGGGCATGATGGGCGGATAAGTGGGTTGAGGGCGGATTAATGGGGGGAATGATGGGCGGATTGATAGGGGAATGATGGGCGGATTAATGGGGGGAATGATGGGCGGATAGATGGGGGAATGATGGGCGCATTGATGGGCGAATGATGGGAGGATTAGTGGGGCGAATGATGGGCGGATAGATGCGCGAATGATGGGCGGATTAGTGGGGGGATTGATGGGGGGATTGATGGGGCGAATGATGGGCGGATTAGTGGGGCGAATGATGGGCGGATAGATGGGCGAATGATGGGCGGATTAGTGGGGGGATTGATGGGGGGATTGATGGGGCGAATGATGGGCGGATTAGTGGGGGGATTGATGGGGCGAATGATGGGGGGAAAAGACGGGGTTGAACGGGGAGGGGGGGATGGTGGGGTGGAATGGCGGGGTAATATGCGGGCAGGGTGGCGGATGACGGGGCGCGAAGGGTGTAGCACACGCGCACTAGGCGTACCTGATAGGGTAAGGCCAGTTGTACAGCTTCCTATCGAGAATGTACTTGTTGAATACAATAACGGAGAAGCTTAAAACGATCCACACGAGCACGTAGAAGTAGCTCAGGGCGATCTTCCTGCCGACGGACTCCGATATCGCCATAATTCCCTCGTGCTAAACGGACGGTCGAGATTGAAAGCTGGTGATCGATAAGACAAACACGGGAGTTGGCTCCAAAAGCTGTCGTTTCCGACTTCGAAAAGCTCAAGTCCCCTTTGCCCTGAAATGATTGTACTCTTGATGGTTAACCTTTGCCCAAGACCTGAATTACTCAACGGAAGTCAACGCTAAAAACTAGGTTCGGGAGGCAGGCACGGAGAGGTTCGGTTGGGTTGCGAGAGACTTTCACTCGCGAAACCAATTTGCGACAAAAGTTTCTCGCTTCCCATGTTGGGTTGGGTCCTTCCCACAACCAGAAAAGCGCGTGCATGTCAAACTGTGCACAGTTTGAGATAGCACGCATAATATTAGGCTGCAAGCATACCTGGAGACTGGGCAAACTGCGTTCACTCGAAATAAATCAGAGGCGCCATACGAATGTGGAAAAGCGCCTATTTAGATGATGATGTGTAAAGATAATGGTATCGAAATACAGGTTTTTGTGCAATTGCTTCGTAAACTCGCGGCAAAAATCGGATCCCACCCCCTTCGCTCAAGCGTGACCCTCCCCTCGCCCTCGCTTTCGTTTCCCTAGGTCCCACGCTTCCGCCCTCTGTCGCCCGCGTCGTTGCCATCGCTAGCTCATCACGTTCGCGACCCCAGTCCGTTGCCTTCATTTCCCCCACCCGTCGCCTTCATTTTCCCCTCCCGTCGCCTTCACTTCCACCTCCCGTCGCCTTCATTTCCCCATCCCGTCGCCTTCATTTCCCCCTCCCGTCGCCTTCATTCCCCCTCCCGTCACCTTCACTTTCCCCTCCCGCTGCCTTCCTTTCCCCCTCTCGTCGCCTTCCTTTCCCCCTCTCGTCGCCTTCATTTCCCCCTCCCGTCGCCTTCATTTCCCCCTCCCGTCGCCTTCATTTCCCCCCTTCCCCCGTCGCACTCGCTTCCCCCGCGCGTCGCACTCACTTCCCGCCCGTCACTCTCGCTTCCCCACCCGTCGCCTTCACTTCCCCCTCCATTGCCTTTCACTCCTGCTCACTCTCGCTTCCCCATCCGTCGCCTTCACTTCCCCTCCCATTACCTTTCACTCTCTCCTGCTCACTCTCTTCCCCCGTGCTCACTCTCTTCCCCCGTGCTCACTCTCTTCCCCACCCTTTGTCGGAAAGAACAAACAGGAATGATGAACTAACAGTGGAAAACAGTACAAGTACCTAACCCTAGAATTGTGTACCCCGTATAGGCTAACCCACTGTAGCCTACACAAGCATAACATATATAATGTTTGACACACTCCCATAGGCAAAGTGGGGGAGAACTAGGGGTCACAAGACCAGTCAAGGCAGAGCAAGGCAAAACAAGCTCAGGGTGGATCTCAAGGATTCCACACAAATTCCGAGCACAAGCAAGCGGTCACAAGACCAGTTCACATGCAGGTTTATAATAGAGCAAGAGGTACAATGATCACAACCTAGCAAGAGTAAACATGCAGGTATATATATAAAGATCACAGTACAAACAGAGTCAAGAAGTGAGCAAGTGAAGTCCAGTAGGCACAAGACCTAGGAGAGTGCAAAAGCGCTGATGGTCACAAGGCTGAAGCGTCTTGGTGAACACATCAGCAGTGTTCGCCTCAGTGGCCACGTAACGGAGACAAAGCTGACCACGCTGCTGAAGCTCTCGAGCAAAGAAGTACCGCAGAGCGATGTGCTTCGTTCTGTGCTCCAGTCTGTGCTCCTCACACAAGGCAATGGCAGCCTTGTTGTCAACGTACAGCACTGGAAGGGAACGAGGCCGCTCTCCCAAGTCAGTCAGCAGGTAGGTCAGCCAGCGTAGCTCCTGGGCCGCCATGGCTGTGGCGTAGATCTCAGCCTCACAACTGGAGCTGAGAACAGAAGAAGAGCGTGTAGAACGCCAAGAAACTGAGCCAGAGCCAAGGCTGAAAGTGTAACCCTGAGACGACCGCTGAGTAGCCTGGTCGTCCGCCCAAGAAGCGTCTGAGTGTCCAGTGAGTACAACCCGGTCTCGCCCTCCAAGCACTAGCCCCATGCCCGACGTACTGCACAAGTAGCGCAACACCCTCTTAGCGGCATCCATGTGCTCCTTCCTGTGACGGCCAGGAGCGACATAGCGTGCAAGGATGCTAAGAGGGTATGCAAGGTCAGGTCGAGTGCAGGTCATCAGGTACATGAGGCAGCCAACAAGCTCTGGATACGGGCCACTCGACTCTACGGACTCATCCGAAGGCAGAGCTGAGAGCGAGTGACCTGTACGCAGAGGAGTGGCCTGAGGCGAGGAGTACGTGAAGCGGAAGCGCTGAAGGACCTGCTGCACCATGTGTGACTGAGTCAAGGTGATGGTGCGCCGTGCTCTGTCCCGAGTGATCCGCAAGCCAAGGTAGCTTGTCAGTTCACCCAGGTCTGTGCACGTGTGTCGCTTCTGCAGCTCCGACTTCACGTGGGCGAGTGCCTGAGTGTCAGCAGTGGCAAAGACCAAGTCGTCGATGTACACGAGGATGTAGAACGGCGGCAGCGAGGTGTCAGTGTGTAGAAACAGCGACGGGTCAGCAGTAGAAGGAGCGAACCCAAGTGCCGCGAGTGTCGTCCTCAGTGTGTCGTGCCACTCACGTGGCGCCTGGCGGAGACCGTAGACTGGCCGCTGGAGCCTCCACTGGGTACCAGGAGGGAACGACCCAGTGAAGCCAGGAGGGCGGCGCAGCCAGATCTCCTCGTGAAGACTGCCCTGCAAGAAAGCAGTACTGAAGTCAAGAGAGTGAAGCTCGTAGTCTCGCTGAGCGGCTATGTGCAGCAGCACCCGAAGAGTAGTCATCTTTGGGGTGGGGGAGAAGGTCTGGAAGAAGTCTACTCCCTCGCGCTGACTGAAGCCTCGAGCAACGTACCGTGCCTTGAAGACAGGAGGAGAACCAGGCGGCCGCTTCACCCTGAAAATCCACATGCCACTGACGATGTTCGCCCCAGGTGGGGGAACCTCGTCGACGTAGGTGCCTGTGGACTTCCAGGAAGCCATCTCTGCGTCCATGGCTGTCTGCCACTGAGAGGAGTAGGGACCTGCCACCGCCTCAGCGTAAGTGCACGGGGTCGGGATGTCTGGTGCATCCGGGTCTCCCTCAGGGGCAACTAGCATGGACACAAGATGGGGCAAAGCAGCAGCAAAGCACTGGAACTCCTCCTGCCTGTCCTCAAGGACGTCCGTGCCTAGAGCACACTCACCCCCGACGGACGGAGGACAGACAGACTCAGACTCAGCAACAAGGCTAGCAGCGTAGTCTAGACGGCACGCGGCAGCAAAGTCAACCAACTCAGCGACCAGAGCAGACGCAGCAGAGGACTCAAAGGTAGGGTCAGTGACAACAGTGGCTAGGAGACGCGTGACAGTGGGACTGGCAGCACGACGGGAGTCAGACTCCGGGTCAGGAAGAGTAGGGAGAGAGGACGGAGGAGGAGACGGCAGAGGGACACGCTGAGGAGCAGTAGAGGGACGCAGAGTCATGTAGTGAGTGCCAGGGACAGGAGGAGGACGCTCACGTGTGCTACGACGACTAGTGCGCGCAGGACGAACAGGCGACGCAGGACGAGGCGCAGGCTCACGACGCTCGGTAAGACCTCCCGTGGGACCGGAGTAAGGAGAGGTACCAGGGAGAGGCGAGGTAGGCGGTAACTGTGACTGCGACTGGACAGGCTGCAGACACTCTACGGAGGGAGGAGGACAAGGAGGAGGAGCCAGACCAAGAACCTGCTGAAGGAGCGGGACGAAGTACGGTCGCGGCCTCGTAGCGTCCCCAGAGCCAGCAGGGACACCACCACCGGGGGCCTCAGCACCAGCAGTAGCTCCACCGTGCGGGCCCTCAGCACCAGCAGCCGCTCCACCGCCCGGGGCCTCAGCACCAGCAGCAGCTCCACCGTCCGGGTCCTCAGCACCAGCAGCAGCTCCACCGTCCGGGCCCTCAGCACCAGCAGCAGCTCCACCGTCCGGGTCCTCAGCACCAGCAGCAGCTCCACCGTCCGGGTCCTCAGCACCAGCAGCAGCTCCACCGTCCGGGTTCTCAGCACCAGCAGCAGCTCCACCGTCCGGGTCCTCAGCACCAGCAGCGGCTCCACCGTCCGGGTCCTCAGCACCAGCAGCAGCTCCACCGTCCGGGTCCTCATCACCAGCAGCAGCTCCACCGTCCGGGTCCTCGGCACCAGCAGCGGCTCCACCGTCCGGGCCCGCAGCACAAGGGGCTCCACTCCGAAGACTGCTGCGTCGCGTGTACCACTCTCGGATCTGCTGAAGGGAGGGGAGCTCCCGGGGAGGTGGGGAAGCACGGGTACCGGCGCCAGGAGCACCTCTCCGGAGGCTGCAGTACTGGAGGTACCTCTCCTGCAGCTGCTGGGAGGAGAGGGCTCCTCCAGGTGTAGCACGCGCAGGCTCAGCACCACCAGACTCAACACCACCAGACTCAGCACTCCCAGGCTCCGCACCTCCAGGCTCAGCACCCCCAGTCTCAGCACCTCCAGGCTCAGCACCCCCAGTCTCAGCACCTCTAGGCTCAGCACCCCCAGGCTCAGCACCCCCAGGCTCAGCACCCCTAGTCTCAGCACCTCCAGGCTCAGCAACCCTAGGCTCAGCACCCCCAGGCTCAGTACTTCGAGGGGGACGCGACTCGACGGCTACCTCGACAGGCTCAACGGGGTCTACCTGAGACACACCTGAGGGAGCTGCACCCTGAGGGGGGAGGGGCTCTACAACAGCAGCACCTGGCGCGAGGAAGAGAGGCGGAGGGGGGAGCGGGGCAGTGCGGTAGGGGAAGAGACGGTAGAAGGGGACCGACTCGTCGAACGTGACGTCCTGAGAGGCGAAGACACGGCGCGAGACAGGGTGGTAAAACTGCCAGCCAGACGCGTCAGGAACAAAACCAAGGAAGACACAGGGGACAGCGCGACGAGAGAGCTTGTCCGCGGACGTGTCGCGGACAAAGGCACGAGATCCCCAGACGCGGAACACTGACGCATCGCCAACCTCTCCCGTCCAACGCAGTGTCGGCGAAGTCTCCGGAGCGGAGACACGGGGCCAGAGGTTGAGCTGATGCGCGGCGTACCGGACAGCAAACGGCCACAGAAAATGGGGGGCATCCGCATGGACCAAGGTTTCAGAATAACTAGCCAAGAATGGATGAACTAGCAGAAGTTTGGGTACAAATATGAAACCCTAGTTGGGGTTGTACCCCATATTGGCTACCCCACTACAGCCTACAAGCATACTACAGTTTAACACACCCCCATAGGCAAAGTGGGGGAGAACAAAGGGTCACAAGACCAGTCCAGCAAAGCAAAGCAAAGCCAAGCCCAGGGTGGATCAGAACGTCACCACACTCCGAGCACAAGTAAAGGCCACAAGGCCAGTTCACATGCAGTGCTAGATATAGTACAAGACAAGCAACACAGTGATCAAAACCTAGCAAGCAAGCAACAAGATATATATAAAGTACAGTACAAAGAATGTCAAGCAGTGAGCAAGTGAGGAAACGTGGACACAAGGCCTAAAGAAGTACAGTGCCGCTGATGATCACTAGGCGGGAGCGCCTTGGTGAAGATATCAGCAGTGTTGGCCTTCGAGTCCACGTACACAAGCCGAAGCTGACCGCGCTGCTGAAGCTCTCGAGCAAGAAAGTAGCGAAGAGCAATGTGCTTCGTCCTGTGCTCCAGTCTGTGCTCCTGACACAAGGCAAGAGCCGCCTTGTTGTCACCGTACAGAACTGGAGGAGAACTAGGCCGCTCTCCCAAGTCAGTCAGCAGGTAGGTGAGCCAGCGTAACTCCTGTGCAGCCATGGCTGTGGCGTAGATCTCAGCCTCACAACTAGAGCCGAGAACAGAGGAAGAGCGGGTGGACCGCCACGAGACAGAACCAGAGCCAAGGCTGAAGGTGTAACCCTGTGACGACCGCTGCGTAGCCAGGTCGTCCACCCAAGAAGCGTCCGAGTGACCAGTGAGGACAACTCTGTCGTGTCCTCCAAGCACCAGCCCCATGCCTGATGTACTGCACAAGTAACGCAGCACCCTCTTAGCCGCCTCCCAGTGCTCTCGCCTGTGTCTCCCAGGCGCAACGTAACGAGCAAGGATGCTAAGAGGGTACGCGAGGTCAGGTCGCGTGCAAGTCATCAGGTACATGAGGCAGCCTACAAGCTCTGGGTACGGGCCACTCGGCTCTACGGACTCGTCCGAAGGTGAAGCTGAGAGCGAGTGGCTGGTAGCCAGAGGTGTGGCCTGTGGTGAGGAGAACTGGAAGCCGAAGCGCTGAAGGACCTGCTGCACCATGTGTGACTGAGTCAGGGTGATGGTGCGGCGAGCTCTGTCCCGGGTGATCTGCAAGCCAAGGTAGCTACGCAGTTCACCCAGGTCAGTGCAGGTGTGTCTCTTCTGCAGCTCCGACTTCACACGAGCGAGTGCCTCAGTGTCAGCAGTAGCAAAGACCAAGTCGTCGACGTACACAAGAATGTAGAACGACGGCAGCGACGTGTCTGTGCGCAGAAACAGCGACGGGTCAGCAGTAGACGGCGCGAACCCAAGAGCCGCAAGTGTAGTCCTCAGTGTGTCGTGCCACTCTCGTGGCGCCTGGCGGAGACCGTAGACTGGCCGGCGGAGGCTCCACTGGGTACCAGGAGGAAACGACCCAGTAAAGCCAGGTGGGCGGCGCAGCCAGATCTCCTCGTGCAGGCTGCCCTGCAGGAACGCTGTGCTGAAGTCAAGAGAGTGAAGCTCGTAGTCACGCTGAGCAGCAACGTGCAGCAGAACCCGAAGAGTGGTCATCTTCGGGGTGGGGGAGAAGGTCTGGAAGAAGTCGACCCCCTGACGCTGACTGAAGCCTCTAGCCACGTAACGCGCCTTGAAGACAGGCGGAGAACCCGGCGGCCGCTTCACCCTGAAAATCCACATGCCATCGACGATGTTCGCCCCAGGAGGGGGAACCTCGTCGACGTAGGTGCCTGTGGACTTCCAGGATGCCATCTCTGCGTCCATGGCTGTCTGCCACTGAGAGGAGTAGGGACCCGAGATCGCCTCTGCGTAAGTGCGCGGAGTGGGGATGTCTAGTGCATCCGGGTCTCCCTCAGGGGCAAGTAACCAGTCCACGAGATGAGGTACAGCAGCCGCAAGAGAGTCAAAGTCCTCCTACCTGTCCTCAAGGACGTCCGTGCCAAGAGCACACTCACCCCCGGCGGACGGAGGACAGACAGACGCAGACTCTAACTCAGCAACAAGGCTAGCAGCGTAGTCTAGACGACAGGCAGCAGCAAAGTCAACCAACTCAGCGACCAGAGCAGACGCAGCCGAGGACTCAAAGGTAGGGTCAGTGACAACAGTAGCTAGGAGACGCGTGACTGTAGGGTGCTCAGCGCGATACCGGTCAGACTCAGGGTCCGGAACGGCAGGCAAAGAGGACGCAGGAGGAGACGGTAGAGGGACACGCCGAGGAGCAGTAGAGGGACGCAGAGTCATGTAGTGAGTGCCTGGGACAGGAGGAGGACGCTCACGACGGACACGACTACCAGTGCGAGCAGGACGAACAGGCGACGCAGGACGAGACTCGGGCTCATGACGCTCTGTAAGACCTCCTGTGGGACCAGCGTAAGGAGAGGGAGCAGGGAGAGGCGAGGCAGGCGGTAACTGTGACTGCGGCTGGACAGGCGGAGGACACTCTACGGAGGGAGGAGGACAAGGAGGAGGAGCCTGCCCAAGAACCTGCTGAAGGAGCGGTACGAAGTACGGTCGCGGCCGCGCAGCGTCTCCAGAAACAGAAGAGACTCCAGCGGCCGGGTCCTCAGGACCAGCAGGAGCTCCAACGTCCGGGTCCCCAGCACCAGCAGCAGCGCCACCGCTCGGGTCCTCAGCTCCAGCAGCAGCTCCACCAGGCGGGTCCGCAGCACCAGCAGCAGCGCCACCCCCAGAGTCGGCAGCTCCAACTCCGCTAGCACCGCCAGCGCCAGAGTCCCCAGCTCCAGCAGCTCCAGTCGCAGTGCTCCCAGAACAACCAGTCCCGGCAGCTCCAGTACCCCCAGTACGAGCACCCCCAGGACGAGCAGCCCCAGCACCCCCAACTCCAGCCGAGCCACTAGGACGGCGAAAGCGCCGGACGTACCAGTCACGAAGCTGCTGCGGTGTGAGAGACTGCTCAGCACCCCGAACCGGAGCACCCCCAGACGCAGTAACCTGAGGCTCCGTAGGCTCAGTAGCAGCACCCCCAGGCGGCAAACACTCAGGCACAGTACCCTCAGCTCCAGCACCCGCAGTCCCAGCACTCCCAGTCCCCGCACCCGCAGGCTCAGCACCCCCAGGCTCAGCACCCCCAGGCTCCGTACTCTCAGGCACCGTACCCTCAGCTCCAGCACCCTCAGTCCCAGCACCCGCAGCCCCAGCACCCCCAGGCCCAGCACCCCCAGGCTCAGCACCCCCAGGCTCAGCACTCCCAGCAGCACCACCCGCAGCAGCACCTGAGTCACCTGTGACCTCGACAAGCTCAGCGACGGGAGGAGGGTCTACCTGAGAGACACCTGAAGGAGCAGGACCCTGAGGGGGAAGGGGGTCTACCGGAGGGGGACCAGGAGCAAGGAAAAGCGGCGGGGGAGGGAGGGGGGCAGTGCGGTAGGGGAAGAGACGGTAAAAAGGGACCGACTCGTCAAAGGTGACATCCTGAGAGGCGAAGACCCGGCGCGAGGTGGGGTGGTAAAACTGCCAGCCAGGCGCGTCAGGGACAAAGCCAAGGAAGACACAGGGAAGCGTGCGGGAGGAGAGCTTGTCCGCGGACGTATCGCGGACAAGGGCACGAGCACCCCACACCCGGAAGCGCGACGCATCGCCAACCTCCCCCGTCCAACGCAGTGTGGGCGAGGTCTCCGGCAAGGAGACACGGGGCCAGAGGTTGAGCTGATGCGCGGCGTACCGGACAGCAAACGGCCACAGAAAATGGGGAGCCGCCGCGTGGACCAAGGAGGTACGAGCGACCTCCATGACCAGGCCAATGTGGCGCTCAGCAACCCCATTCTGCTGCGGGGAGTCCGGAAGCGTGAAGGTCTGCTCGATGCCCTCCGCCTGACAGAAGGTCCTCAAGAGATCGGAGGAAAACTCACCACCTCTGTCAGAGTGCAGACGCAGGACAGGAAGATCCGTCCGGAAACGGCGGCGGAGCTGGAGACGAACCGTGCGGATCCAAGGGATCAGAACAGCAGGGACCTCACCCTTGGTGCGCAAGGGGAAGACCGTGGTGTAACGCGAGTAGTCGTCGACAACCAGCAAAAAGTACCGCTCACCGCTCTGACCACGAACGCGGGCTGGGCCCCACACGTCCAGGTGGAGGGTCTGCAGAGGAGCCTCTGTCGGGGGGAACGAGGAGGAGTGAGGAGCGGCGCGCTGCCGCCCCTCGACGCAAGGAAGGCAAGGCGGCGCAGGCGAGGCAGGGAGGGGAGGGAGGGACCTGGGAAGACCAGACACAAGGTGGCGACGGTGCATGCCACGAAGGCGTGGCAAGGAGGGGTGACCCAGGCGGTGGTGCCAGAGAAGAGTCTGGTGCGACAGGGAACGAGACTCACAGGCGTGGGCTACCAGACCTGACGCAGACACCTGACCGACAGCAGCGACCTGAGGAGACGCAGTGGTCAGTGTGTAGAGACTCGACCCCGGCCGACGGGTAAACGTAGCCAGGTGACGGCCGGTCCTGGAGCACGTGCAGATCGCCACACGCTGTCCTCCAGGGGTAAAGGTGTCAACCCACTGATCCTGGAGGACAGCGTTGCTCACCAGGTTCGTCGAGAACGAGGGGAGGTGGAAACCCGACAACGAGCCAGACGGAACCGCCGGACAAGGGAGGACAGTGGTGGACTGGGCAAGGACTGGGCCCCCAGAGGGGTCAGCCAAGGAGACTGGGACCGGTGCAGGAAGCGGTGTGAGCTCAGTACTGTCACGAAAGAAGCAACGGGAAGCACCTGAGTCAAGGGTGAAGGTGTGACAGGCCTCAGCCGGTGCGGTACCTGAGAGAGCAGTCTCTGTGGGTGCTGTACCTGAGAGAGCAGACTCGAAACCAGCCGGGACAGTACTGGAGGGAGCAAGTACAGGGGGCACCATACCAGAGAGAGCAGACTCACTAGTACCCAGGGCAGCGGGCTCTATACCTGGGTCAGGCGGCACACACAAGTAACAGTCTCCCTCGGCACTAACAGTCAATGCATACATGGCAGCAATAATAGCATCAAAGTCAAGAGCAAAGACATCAACACCAGCCCTCATGAGCTCAGCCCAGCGGGGGCGCTCAACATCCGCACCCATCTCCTCACGCCAAGCGTCGTCAAGGCGGGAGAAGCAGCGGTACGGGGTGTGGAACCTCCCACACGTCTGTCCCTTGCGGTCACCTGTGCGAATGACATAAGAACAGCGGCCACTGCCTCCCGACGTCCCACGCTGAGCAAGCCACTCACGAAGCTGCTGGGTCGTCTGGGGACGCTGCTGCTGCTGGGAGCTCTGGCCCGAGCCAGTGCCTCCACTCCGACCTCCGCCGCCACCACTACCACCGCTCCGACCGCCACCGCCACCACCGCCACCACCGCCACCGCCGCCACCGCCGCCGCCGCCACTACTGCCACTGCTTCCTCCGCCGCCCCCGCCTCCACCACCGACCCCACTCCCACCAGCGCTCCCGCCACCGCTCCCTCCAGCACCGCCTCCCCCCCCACCTCCCCCACCTCCTCCCCCCCCAGCGCCACCACCACCACCCTTGCCCCCCTTGCCCTTGACGGTGCGGCGCCTCCCACCAGGAGCAGAAGCAGCGCCAACAGACTCAGCACCAAGGAAGTCAACAGCAGCAGCAGCAGCGTAGGAGGGAGCGAGGGGAGAGGGGGAACACCCCTCAAAGATGGGGGTGCGAGGAGCACCACGAGCAGCACCGACAGCTACAATGCTCTTTTCGGCCGCGAGCAGCTGCTCCTCTAGGAGGGTGACTGTGAGCTCAGTGGGACAGCGAGCAAGGAAGTGGTCTCGAACCGAGCTGAGGGTGTCAGGGAGACGGGTGACTATGAAGTGGAGTGTCCAGTACAGTGGAGGGGGGTTCTTAGCGCAGAACTCGGTGGGAAGGGCGGCACGCAGGCGAGCATCACTAGTGCGAAGGTGGGTGATAAGATCGGCGACTGTAGCAAAGGTGGACAGATCGGGGAACAGGTACGGCAGCATGAGGCGGCTAAGCTCGGCTGTGGCAGGCGAGGAGTAGCGAGCAACGACAGCATCGTACAGGGCCTTAGCGGATTTGCAGTCGCCAAAATGCTCGAGCTCAGCTAGCGGCAGGTGACTGCGAATGGCTAGGCGAGCAGCTGCGTCACGAGTCTGCCAGTGGGAACGAACACTAAGCTCGGCTGTGGCAGCAGGAGCAGCGGCAGCACCAGACGCGTAGTCATAGAGGGAGATGTGGTCCGTGCTATTGCTCATAAGGTACAACTGCAGGTCGTCGAGCCAGGAAGTGAACTGCACGGGACGGCCCTCAGCATCGAAGGAAAGAACACGAATAGAGGCCATAGCTCAGGCGTGAGGGCACAGCAGAGCAGCGGCAGCAGCAGAGGGGACGCGCTAGTGCGAAGCTAGCAGCCACAGCAGGAGCAAGCGGCGGTGCACAGGCAGGGAGCAGCAGGCGAGGCGGGCGGCGCTGCAGGCGGGAAGTGCGGCAGGCGGGCTGCAAGTGAGCGGGCGACGCTGCGAAGCGGGCAGCGGGCGAGCGGGCGACACTGCGAAGCAGGTAGCGGGCGGGGGGGGGCGGCGCTGCGAGCGGGCAGCGAAGCGGGCGGGCCGCGAAGCGGGCAGCGAGCGGGCGGGCGGGCTGCGAAGCGGGCAGCGGGGCGAGCGGGCTGCGAAGCGGGCGGGCCGCGAAGCGGGCAGCGAGCGGGCGGGCGGGCTGCGAAGCGGGCGGGCCGCGAAGCGGGCAGCGAGCGAGCGGGCTGCGAAGCGGGCGGGCCGCGAAGCGGGCAGCGAGCGGGCGGGCGGGCTGCGAAGCGGGCAGCGGGGCGAGCGGGCTGCGAAGCGGGCGGGCCGCGAAGCGGGCAGCGAGCGGGCGGGCGGGCTGCGAAGCGGGCGGGCCGCGAAGCGGGCAGCGAGCGGGCGGGCGGGCTGCGAAGCGGGCGGGCCGCGAAGCGGGCAGCGAGCGAGCGGGCTGCGAAGCGGGCGGGCCGCGAAGCGGGCAGCGAGCGGGCGGGCGGGCTGCGAAGCGGGCAGCGGGACGAGCGGGCTGCGAGCGGGCGGCTCGGCGGGCGGGCGACACTGCAAGGGGCGCGCGAGGGCGCTAGTGAGGGGCGCGCGAGGGCGCTAGCAAGGGGCGCGCGAGGGCGCTAACGAGGGGCGCGCGAGGGCGCTAACGAGGGTGCGCGCGAGGGCGCTAACGAGGGGCGCACGAGGGCGCTAACGAGGGCGCACGAGGGCGCTACGAGGCTAGGGCACGGGGTAGCGTGGTAACCGCATGCGAGCTGTGG